TTTCATAAAAGCCTTATTTTTATCCAGTTTTCTATTTCAAAAAAATGGACAGTCACTACTGTCACCCATTCCTCTTGACTTAGAATATCAACAGGAGCACTGATGACAGCCAGGGTGGAGATGATGGCATCTTTTGACTCAAGTATGCGTTTCAACATATAAAATGTTGAGTTCCACCTTGTAGCACACTCATGTTTGGGCCTTAGCTCTGGCATTCCCATCTGACGTTGCGTGGACTTTAGCTTCTTTGTGGCAACCGTGCTTTTGTGGAAAAACTCTACAATAGCTTTCACTTTGTCCACAGTTGGTTTCACCACCCTCAGTGCATCTTTAATCATCAGATTTATTGTGTGCGCAAGACATGGGTGGTGGGTCCACTGACATATTTTTATGGCTTTTGTTATGTTTGCTGCATTATTAGTAACACAGCACACCACTTTGTCATCTACCTGCCACTCTTTAGCCACTCTTACTAGCTCCTCTGCCAGGTTTTCTGCTGTGTGTCTCTCCGAAAACTCAAAACAGTCAAGAAGGCAGGATGTCACCTTAAAGTTTTCAATAAAGTGACAAGTGACAGACATGTATGAGCATGTTGTTCTGGATGTCCAGCAGTCAGTTGTCAGGCATACTGCTGAAGCTTTTTTGACCCTGTCTTCCCAAAATGCACGCTCTGTGTTATATAGTCGTGGAATAATTGTTTGGGACAAGGTTTTTCTACTAGGTAGAACATACATGGGGTTTAAGGCTCGCTTGCCCTCTCTCCTCCAGCCTCATGGCTGGATGGGCGGTTCTTAGATGTCTGTGCAAGTTTGTTGTTGACCCTGCTCTGACAGATATTTTCATTTTACAAACTCGGCACTCAGCTTTGCAGTCTCCATTATCACTGAAATGCATCCAGATGCTGCTTCTTTTTCGGTTTTCGGACATTTCCTCCGTTTTTCCCGACGCGCTTGCTTTTAACCTGGCTCCCCGTCTGTGTGTACCTGTCCTGTACTACCACTACACTCGCTGTCTGAGCGTCTGGCCCCGCCCCCTTA